AGATCCCAACCACAGCCCTGGAGCAGCTCTCTGCCCAAAAATGTGCCCTACCAGGGTTGCTGGGGCTGGTCTCCATAGAAACCCTGGCTCTGCACTGTCATGGTCCCACTGCTGCTGGGATCTCCATGGAAGCTGGCCACAGTGATGTGGGCAGGGGCTGCTGGGAAATAGAATCTGACCACCAGTTGGATCCACCATTTTGCCCACCCAACCTTTTTTTTGCTGTGACCCTAAATTGGCCACCAACAGGACCTCTCGACCCAGCACCGCAGGAGCTGCTGGGAGCAGAATGTGGTGGCCCAGGGTGGCAGCAAAAAAAGGGGAGGGGAGCCACCATTGCCTACTTTGTGTACTGCAGCCCCACTCTGCCCGCCTGCCACTCCTGGGTCATGCGCATGAGTGTGCATGTGTGTTCAGGCCCTTTGCAACCCTACTAAGGACCCCCCGTGACCCTGATTTGGGTCACACCCGAAGGTTGGGAACCAATGGTCTAGACTGTATTTCCTTAGCTTATTAATGAGAATGTCATGGGAGATAGTGACAAAAGCCTTGCTAAGTTCAAGGTATATCTCACCTACTACTCTCCTGTCACCTTATCATAGAAGGAAATCAGGTTGGTCAGGCATGACCATGCTCTTAGTGAATCCTTGCTGCCTGTTCCTGATCACCTTGTTCTTCCTAGGTGCTTCACAATAGATTTCTTGAGGACCTGCTCCATGATCTTTCCAGTTACTGAGGTCATACTGAGTTGTCTGTAATTCCCCAGATCCTTCTCCTTCCCTTTCCTAAAGATAGGCACCTTATTTGCCCTTTTCCAGTCATCTAGATTGTAGGACCTCACCCAATCTATGTGAATTTTCCAAGAAGATAGCCAGTGACTCTGAAATTACCTCAACCAGATCTGTCAGGGTGTATCCCATCTAGCCCATCTCACTTGAAAACATCTAGCTTGTCTAAGTCATTTTTAACCTGTTCTTCCAATGCTCTAGGCTGTTTGTCTCCTTCCCTGTCTTTGCTACATCTTTTAGTATCCTTGTAAAAATCGGACCAAATTAAGCCTCTGAAAATCCGTTAGTATGTCCCCTGTTTGACAGCTGAATATTCTGAATATTTAATCTTAATTCAACACACCCTATTCAGCTAAGTCTCCTGCATGCCGATTAGGCTGCATATGTGCCACCTCACCTACTTCCCCCAAGAGTAACTTGGCAGACTCTATTCAAGGGCAGACATTGGGCATACTTTCTATTGAAAAGTCTCTTCCCAGTAATTAAGGCATGAGAGCTGAGAGCACAGTGCATTCAAAGAACCATGTTATGGAGGATCCCTGCCTCATTTGTTGCAAATGCAGATTTATTTAGTGAATGGGGCAGGGAGTTACAGAGATAAAGGGCGGTCTCCTGGTTTTAGGGATTTAAATGCTACTTTGGATAATAAGGTTCTAGTTCATATTGTTGCTTATTCTCATTAATAGTAGATTCAGTGAAATCAGTTGGGCAGCTTGGTTAGTGTGGTTCTTGGAACAAAGATGTCTTTTTTCAAATACTAGGCATTTAAGCCATATTAATAGTCATATTCAGCTATATAGCATGATTTTGCCCATAACTTAGGTTTTTATGTTCTGAGTACTTTTTAAATGAGAAAGAACAGATTGACAACTATTTATAAGAAATATATATCCTAAGAAAAAGTGGCCATTGTTAAGCTTTTGAATGGTTCAACTAAATAACTGAATTAAAAAAAATATTTTAAAGCAATAGTCAAGAATGGGATTCTTAGCACTCTGGACAGTTTATCTGACGCATACTGATTAAAGCAATATTCTCAGTGCCAACTTTAACTAGATCTTCTGTGCTAGGAGGACTGTAAGACAAAGAAAATAATGCACGTTATACTTCTCATCAGAAAAAAAGAAAGAAACTAGCAACATTTTTGTAACAATATGGAAGCTATACCATGATGAGAACAATCTATCTTTTTCAAGTTTCTAATTTAAAATAAATATGTATTTGAACTTTGAAGCATTCCACAAGCATGTCTCCAAAGCATTTCTTAATGTTGTCAATCATTAAACCTCCTGTAGTTTTAGGCACTTCAGAAGGAGATCATTTACAAACTAAGGATTTGCACCGATAACTTAATATCTTGACAACCTGTTCTTTTTTAATCTATACAATTGCATCTTATAATGGTTTTCTGCTACCCTCAGTGATGTCATTAATCTGGTATTGGCCAGGTAATTTTACAGGCATGATAGCAGCTATTAGATGAAACAGATTGAATATTGTATTTTTTAAAAATCTTCCTCTCCATACTGAAGGACTGCTCTTAAAATAAAAGTAATTTTAAAACCATAAAGCTGATAAAATCCTAGATTAAAGTTGAAAGACATTTCTAAAACTACATATTTTAGAGAAGCCTTGATAGTCACCCAGTTCACTGAAAGACTTTATGGACCAACACTGTATCTTTCACCAGTTCTCTCAGTTCTCTATCGGCTTCTCCCCTTGAATTAAAGACTACGTCAGGCAAACGTACTAGAATAGGTCTTTTTTTTTCTCCAGACCCCTTTGATTTGGACCCATAATGAGGAGAAGACTCAAGAATTCTTTTTACTCTTCACCACCTCTCACCACAGGTTGCAGAGTTCCATGTAAAATTACCAATACACCAGTCATATTAGCAAACTTTATTTAAAAACAGAGAGATTGGAATTAAAGATAATGATTTTGCTTAATATATATAGTTCTGCATCTCTCATAAGCTAAAGAAGATATTTGCAGCATAGTTGTAGAAGAAATAGAAAAATGAAATGGCTGCATATCTTCAAATAGCTCTCCTGTCTTTGACTTCTTTGATCAACCTATCATCTTCCTTTGCTAACTAGACATCATTTCCTTGTCTTTTCCAGTTTCTTGTGGTTGGATTCAGTTGATCCATGACTGCTGCTCCATTTATTCAAATAAGTTCTCTCATTACTTACAAAGATACTTTTTCCTTTTCTCTAAGGGATAGCTTATGGAAGATGGAGACCTTTGATGATGGACAGCCATCATTCAAAAGCTTATCACTAAGACCACCTTTCACATCTGCTTCGGCCATTTTTGTATTCTCCTTTTAAATAGACAGATTTGTCATTTTCTGTAATGACAATCTTATCCCTCCTCATTTTCCATTGCCATTCATTAGGTCCAGAGACCCTGCGTTCAACTTTGGCCCTACTAAATTCAATAAAATAGGAGACCCTCAATCAGTGTAGGATTTTTATATTGTCTGGAAAGTTCTCTGTATCTGTTGCATCTCCTTTAGATGCAAGATGTACCTTGAAAGGTAGCTCTGGTGACCTCTAAGTTTGATATGTATTTACACTTTTCAAGACTGGGGATAGGGAAAAGGCTGTTAGAAATCTTATGCACTGTGCAGCCTCTTGAAATAAAAAAGCATCTGCAAGCATTCCAGTCATTGATGTGAGACTGACTGGTCTAAAATTGCCCAAATCAGCTTTTTTCTGTTTAAATACAGGCAAAGTGTTTTCTGCTATCCACTCATGGCACCATCCCTAACTTGATAGATTTATTTAAAATACTCGTAACTGCACCTATAATTTATTGTGCAGTTTCTTTCAGAATTCTGGAATGGAGATCATCTGGTACCCTTGACATCAGTAAATTAAGCTGAGCTTTTCTTCCAGCTAAGATATCATTATTTCCATTTCTGTATTTCAGTTCTTATTAGCTATTCTGAATTTGCCCCCATGCTCAACACCATAATCCTTATTGAAAAGTGAGATAAAGCATTAATTTAATTTTGGGGCCATAGTTAGATTACATTTAATATCTACCCCATCTTCACTGTATATCAGCCCAAAACTACTACTGCTTTTTATGCTTGAATAATGAATTGCAATTTGTTTTAATTTCCTTTGCAATGTTTAACTCAGTGCAATATGGCAATTCTCACATTGTCCCTACACATCCTGATTTCCAAGAAGTTGCTTTTTTGAACATCCTAAAATTTTTCCTATAACGTCAGTCCATGAATCATCTTTTGGATTTCATTTTATGCCATGCCTTTGTTCTCCTCCTCTAGTCACCAGAAGGTTTCCACTGAAGAACACCTGAGCCTCCTTTTCTTTGAATTTCTTCACCAATTAGTTTGTGTGGTTGGCCTTAATTCATGCCAGCCAGAAACTGACACTGTTATTTGATCAGGGGTTCTTCCTTGAACCTGTCAAGACCCTCTTCAGCCTCAGATTCATGTTTTACATCCTTTGCTCTTGACAAATAACACACCCTTCTTTTTTTTCCCCCAATGTGCTGTAGTGACAGGCTTGTCAGTCTTTAACAAGAAGTCCCCCGTGACATAGATGTTCCTCTTCCTGATCCTAGTGTTCCTAGTCCTCTCCCTTTCATTCTTCCTTTTGTCTACAGATAATGCTTTCTTCCTTCCTCTCTTATAATCTTCTGTACATTATCTTTACCCCTCCGCAGGCTTCAATATGTGGCTTTTTTCCTTTGTAGCTTACATTTTTTTGGAACTAAGTTGCTGTTTTTCTTCTTTACCACCCTTTTCCATGCAACAAACTTGTCCCTAGCTTTCTCCTATACTAGTCAGTCTTTTCATTTGACTTGTTCTATCTACACACTTCTGTGGGTCACCTTCCTCATGTAGATATTTGCCCTGTTGTTTGGGAGGTGTCTGCAATCTTTAGTTGTCCACGCAGCCTAGAGGGAGAATCCTTCATAGCCAGTATGGCTTAGGGTAGATCTCCAGACATGTTGGGAGTAGGTCAGTTGTAGTCCGAGTTTTGCAATAAATCTATGATCAGAGTTGATCTGCAAATAAAATAACTTTGTATTTTAAAGATATTATTTCCCTTTTTTACCTTTGTACCCTGTGCAGTGGACATAATGAAACTTGGTAAGTTTGTTGAATTGTTGCCTGTTTGCAAATTGTCAATGAAAGATATCTTATTTACTTACATGCCTTTGATCTTTCAGGTATTGGTGGTAATTTAGTGGCTATTCAAGCTAGCAGAATTTCTACCTACCTCCATTTACATAGCATTCCTGGAGAATTGCCAGAGGAAGCCAAGGGTTGCTATTACCCATGCAGGACTTTTTATGGTACAGGTATGTATTGGTTGATTTAACAATCATTAAAACTGAAGTATTGTCTTCTCCTTTTATTTTTCCGTAGAGTAAGCTGCACAAGCAGTAAAGGAGAGCAGTGTGTTAAGTTGTTGCATATAATACAAAAACAGCAGCAGGTGTACCCAAGCCTTTCAACTGCCTGGAGCAATTGGATGGATGGAAGAGATGTTTGTGCAGCAGGGGTGGGAAGACAGATGGGGATTATGGAGGGTTAAGGACTCTACAACTCAGAATTGTTTTATCATTTAATCTTTCAGTAACTCATTTACTGCCTCCATTCCATATACACCTGACCCATTTATAACCTTCCTCACTACAGCTTTCTACACATACCAGCTTCCATGGTCAGCATTTGAAGAGTTTTGAGCTAATTAAACACAGAGTTCTTACAAACTATATCCACATCTCCCTCCCCACTGCCACCATTCCCCTCCTTCTGAGGCTTTGTTTTCTTATCTGCTAACTCATCTCTTACCTGTATCCTAGGCCCATTGTTCCCTTATTACTGGCATTCTCCACTATGTGCTCCCTTTGTGTTCCTTTCTTTCACACCACTGCAATTTACCCCATACTGTCCCTGTTTTCTTGTCCCACACTCCTTTCCCTTCTAGATCCCCATTCCCTTTCCATCATGCAGACTCCTCTGAGCTCCCTGACTTTCCCCTCACTCTTCTGTGGGTCACTGTACTTTTTCCCCCTCTTCCAGTTCTGCTCCCAACACCCTTTTGGATTGCTTCTTTCCATCACATCCTCCGGTTTTGCTTTCCACATTGTCACCGTACACCATTCTTCTACTTGCCTCTGAGTTGCTCCTTCCCCTCACACTGCTATGTCATTCTGACAGTAGTCCCTGGTGCTTTCCCCCACCTCCGTTTCCCTCAGGGTCCCAATTTCTAGCTCCAAGTCTAGTGTTCTTTTCTTGTTCCTCAGTTCCTTCCTAAAAATCCTCCTCCTAATGTTCTTTTTTGTCTATTAAGAGTCCCAGCTACAGATTCTCTCCATTCCCCAATCTTTATCTGGTGGTAGTAGCAGGTAGTGCCCATGGGTTTTGTCTGTGCAGCACCAAGCAGTTTACGGACCTCATTTTCCTTTAGATGAGGGTTTTCTGATATTCCAGTAATAGGGTTCTGTCAAATAATGAATAGGATTCTCTGTAAACTTGATCAGATGCTATATTACTAAGTGTGATACAGACAGAAAAACAAAGAAATGCCATGAAGTTGAGAATATGTTGTCACTTCATTTGGCCGACCTAAATGTAAATTAGCTAATTTAAGTGTAAATGATGCAATCTGCCTTTTCATGTTCCAGAAGATGCAGTCATACTGGGGACGGGGGGGGGAGAACGGGACACAACTGGATTCTGCAAGGTTATTTGCTTACCCAGTACTCTCGTCACTGTAGGAAGCAGTTTCCTTCAACTAACCGGTGCTATTTTACAAACCAGGTAGTGGTGCTGTAAGTCACATGTCACCCAGGTGCAGAGAACTTTTTATTTCCCTCCTTGTCTTGTCATAATGGTGCTTTCTAGGTAATGGAAGAATGGCCTGTTTCTAATTCTAATTTAATCACCTAACACAGTGAGTTGCTATGATTACTACAGGTTATCTTGAAAACAGGGTATCCTTACTAACTGTATAGTAACTTTGGCAAAGATTGACTTTTCAACAGCTTCTGTTGCACTTTGATATTTTTATGGAATATATTTCTAGGTCATAAGTGAAACAACAGTGGAAGGTAAGTATACTTCTTAGCAATAAGAAGCCTCTGGATTTTTATTGGTGAGAAAAGGTGGCCAGAACTTCCCGTCTCCTGGGGGACCTTTATAAGGGATTAGTGCAGCTCAAAAAGTGGGTGGCATTGTTAAAGTCAGAAACATAATCAATGCATATACTAATCAACACTGATAGGGTACATATGAGCAAAACCTTGAGCAGCTTATGCCAACAAAGGTCCTGCTCATCCGCAAGCAGACACTAAACCTTCTTGTCCCCTGAGGAAATCTTGAGAGAGTTTGATAGAACTAAAGCCTGCCCTTTCAGAAGGGTACAATTTGTACCTGCCTTTACCACTGGGGATGAACTTGTCCCACGGCTATGGAATTCCAGTGTTGTTTTTTTCCCCTCTGCTATCAAAAAAAATGTTTTCACCTTTTGAACAGCTAAAAGGACTTCTATGTATTTCAGGAGTAAACCACAAATCAGCTCAAGTTCTGCTGCTTTTGGTGATTCCTGGGCATTTAATTTTCTTGTACACCATTCACTTAATGAAAAGTGGACACACTTCACTGACTCCAATCTTTATAGCAGTATATTTGTTTGCAGCCCTGCTACAGGTAAGATTTAAAAAGCTTTTCCAATGGTTATTTTAGTTCTCAGAGAATGGCATGTTGAATATGGGATTTTAAATTTATAAAAAAAAAAAAAAAAGCTCAGTAGTTTGAACGTTATGAGGTAGTAACATACATATGAGAATATATTATTACTCCTCAGTGTATTCTCAATGTCAGCCCCTACATTTTGGGTATTTTTCAATAGGTATCTGTGTGCTGTTTTCCCAAGCACATATCTTGTTTTTTTCATGCTTCAGTACCATTGCACCCAGTAAGCATTGTGTTAGTCAATGGGAACAATAGCATCTTTCTTACTGATAGAAAGCAGGCCAAAGAAAATCCTAAAGGAATTCTTTCAAACTGTTTTCATGAAATAAATTGTTTCAGTCTTGTTGGTTATATTTTCTCATATATATGTATGGTTACATGCACTTCTAACACTAAATAAAGGTGAAGTTGGGTTAGCAGTAACCAGGATAAGATGGGTTTTATTTGTATTCATTTGGGGGTTTTTTTATTAAGAATTCTTACTGCACTTTTACTGTTTATACCTAGTACTGTATTTAGACCTAGCAATGGGAGTTCTTGAAAGATGCCTTTGAAATAGCTATGAAAATCAGCAAAAAAAATGGAAGTGTTTTGATTGAGTTCACAACCAAGTTAAAGTTAAAACCCTTGAATAAAATAAAAAATGGTTAGTTATTTTTTCTGGTATTGTACAATAAAGAAGAACTTGAAAAATCCTTATGTTAAGTGTAGGCCCTGCTTTTACAGTAGCTTTGACTAAATTGTCTTTAAAGTGATGGCAGTATTAATCAATCAACAACAAAAAAAGCAAATTTGGTGTTCTACATTGTGTTTTGGTGGCTCGAGTGTTTCTTCCTGTAAAGATGGGTTTTGCCAAAAGCTACAATTAGTAGGTCATATAAAAAGTGCTAGATTTTCACTTAGTAAATAGTGAAAGACTCCGAGTCTTGCATGTACTTGTCTTGGACTAAAAAGTGCCATTCTTTATTTTTAACTGCCCTCTTGTGATTACTTTTATTTCTTATCCTATTGCTGTAGTATTTGATTCTTCCTCTACATCCATTTCTTATGGACATGCTGTATATTGGCCTGGTCCAAATTTAACTCTCAGCAGTGGATACATCAAGAGCTGCTGAAAGAAACAGATTTCATACTTTTTATATTACAGTATATTATTATATTTGCTTTGCTGCTAACCTTCCCCTCAGGCCCAGAAGACAATTCAAAACTGACATTTCAGACTGGCATAATAGATGGCAAAAATGCAAATACACATTTAAAGCAGATATTAAACCAAGCAAAAAGATTGCAAGTCCTGACTCATTTTTCAGTTACAGTAGTTCTGTAGCAGTGCAACTTCACTGACCTCAGTGGGATCATGCCTGATTTCGGGATGGTATTGAAAAGAGGATGAAGTTCGTAATTTTTCCTTTTTGTGAATGATCTTTTCTTTTCCATCTCCTTTTTTTGGCCATAGCATATTTTGTAGTTGTACTTTTGTGGCTGAATTGCAGCATTTCACACTATAACTTTTTAGTGGTCTTAACAAATTTACAATCAGGAACCCCATGCTTCTGTTTATCTTATAAAAATTACACAAAATTAATTATCCTTGCTTCCATTTTTCTCTATACTACTTGTAATCACATTCTTATACAGTGTTGTAATTAAAGGTTTGCGTACCTCTGATTGCTAGACTTGAAATGACTCCTTTCCCCTTCAAGTCACAATTCTTCTGTGCCATCTTAATCAGCTCTTTTTTTTTATTGTCTGTTGCAACTGTAGGACTGTGGGCCTCCCATACTCTTTCACACTTAATTCTTTTCTATTTTGACATTAAACTGTGATTATTCATCCCTAACTCTCCATTTTCTCCTCTGCCTTTGATAGTAGTGAGAAGCTAGAGATGGAA